TGAAGATGATGTTAATTATGGATATTAAATTTAAGTTGTTGTAGTTTTTAAATTTAAGTTAATATTGTTTTTAAATTTAATTTGTAGTTTCAAATTTAATTTGTAGTTTTCAAATTTAATTTGTCATTTTTAAATTTAAGTTGTAGTTTTTAAATATAAGTTGTAGTTTTTAAATAATAAATTATGTTTGGCCCAAGGGTAAGGCAAATAATGATTACAAGCCGCTCAACATGAAGTGGCGGCCTCATTACGATTAATGGCGAAGCAAAATGCCCTTGAGGCGGAAGAAAGGAAGTGTAGGCATGAAGAATGGGCCAAACAAATACAAGAAGAGATGGATGATAAGAATATGGAAATGAACATTTCGAATTACACTCCAATGAGTAAGACTTATTTTGATAGAAAAAAAAAGAAATTATGACTCGGCAGCAGTTGTTTACCTCTAACTATACTCCTGCAATGGCAGATGATGAAGATGATGTTGATTATGGATATTAAATTTAAGTTGTTGTAGTTTTTAAATTTAAGTTAATATTGTTTTTAAATTTAATTTGTAGTTTTTAAATTTAATTTGTCATTTTTAAATTTAAGTTGTAGTTTTTAAATATAAGTTGTAGTTTTTAAATAATAAATTATGTTTGGCCCTATGACCCTTTGACCCTCGGTTGGAGACGGTTTTTTGTGACAGGACTAAAATGAGCCCTATGGCCCTTTGGCTCTCGATTGGAGACGGAGGCAAATATGGCAATGTACTGTTCATTAAAATATTAATATCTTGGAGGGCCAGAGGGCTAAAACGAGCCATCTAGCCAGCCCTCGGTTGGAGATGGCCCAACAATACAATTTTTTGATTTTGTGTTGAAGAAATAGAAACATTTGGTTGAGAAGCAGCAATGTAGGGTGAGTGTGTGGGATGTTCGTACCAGATGTGACGATAAATGGTTATTGTTACTACGATGGCAGAGTTAAAATTCTGGAAATTCAAGAGTTGGATGGCAGCGTTAAACAAATGAAGCAAAGGGCTATCGGTATGTCATCCCCAAAATTTTGGGATTTTGGTTTGAGACTTCTTTGGTTTGAAATTAGGATTTTCGGAGTTTTTTTAAACCCTTACTCTTTCATTCACCAACCTTCACATTTCAACGACGAACAAAAATAAAATGAACAACTTAGAGTATTTTCAAGGAAGAGTCGAAATGTCTACATCAGTAATAACAGTAAAAAGACAGCTTTAGTGTTTTCCAACCTAAATGTTAATTTCTACAAGGCATGACGTGAATTGATATCAAAGGTGGTTGCTGTCAAATTTGATAACTACTTCAAATCTATTTGTTATAATGATTAATAAATGTTTTTTATATGATTATTAATATTTGTCCTAGAGTTACTTATTACAATTATAAAAAATAATAATCCATAAATAATAAATTAAATTTGACATATTAGATGGAAAACAAAATTTTAAAAAAGATCAAAGTGTCATATAAGATTATCTCAAAATGAGATGTCAAATTTTAAACATAAAATTTAAATTTGAAAGTTTATGTAGCACATTAATAAAAAAAATTTAAATTTTATTTTTCAACCGATATGTCAAAATTAAACAATTATTGTCACATCTCGGCTCAAGCCCCCACCACATCACAGGCTCGACTCCGCCGTAGCACAATATTGTCCGCTTTTGGCCCCGACCACGCCTTCACAAGAGGCATTTTGGAAGCTCACTGATTTTAGGTTCCATCGGAACTGCAGACTGTAATATCAAGAACTTATTCATTGGATTAGTTAAGCAAGTAAATAAGGAGGTCTTTTTTTTTTTTACATTAGTGCATACTTATGTGTTTGTTGTATTTTACCTATTTATTACTTGGGTTCAACCCAAGGATATTATGTACTTATTTTCGGAGTTCGCAACTTTCGATTGGGTAGTTGAAAATGATATTCCCCGTTTTAAGTATCAATACAACTACTCTAAACCATATGTTAGTACATATATTTTATGCTTCCTTAACTTTGAGTTTTGTGTCACAACTCATTTTAAATTTCGGGGACGAAATTTTCTTAAGGGGAGTAGATTGTGACAACCCATCCTTAATTTTACGTTTATATAAATTTTAAAAGCGTGAATTGACAAAAATGCCCTAGAGGTAAAGACTTTAACTTCCGTTAACCCTCGTTTAGAGAAACTTATAACTTATTCTTTTAGCGTACTTAAGTAATACTCGTCACTATGAATGCATAAGCGAAAGCCGTTTACGAGTCCGGATTATAAGGTATAGTTATGGACGTTTGAAGTTGGTTATTTAAAGGTAGTTAAATTATTTGAACTCCCACCTTGTAGGATTGAGAACCAATCAACATATGGGTTAAGGGGACCAATCTGATTTGGAGTGAGAGAGCGTGAGAGCCAATCAGGAAAAGAAAGAAAAAAAAAAGGAAAGCTCCCGGCCTTCCCGTGGCCTTTCACACGCACCCACACCCATTGCAACCACCCATCTTCCAAGGCCGATTCTGGCCAACTCCGGTGGAGTTTTTCGACGCCACCACCACCACCATCTTGAAGCTCTCATTCCCCTCTACAAAACTCAACCAAGAACCACCTTGATTAACCACTGTATGAGGCGGTTTGAGACCATAAAAGTCGACGGTTCTCGCGGTGCTCTAACCACCATTTTCAATTTTCCGGCGAATCGGCAAAGCAATGGCCGATGCCACCACTTGGGCTTTGTAGCCCATCATCACAGGAGAAAATCTCAACCAACCTTGACCCTGTTGGACCACCGTAGACGACGAATTGACGCCGGGAAGCTTTAGGCACCCGCCGGCTTTGTGGGCAAAATTGACTATCTTCCATCCACTTTTGGACTTCGTGGCAGGCGACGATGGTTCGTGATGTCTCAATTTTCGTGCTAGGGAGTCGTAGCGCGGACCTCAGGCGAGTGGGTTTTTTCCTTTTATCGTATATAGATATGACTGATAATATATGTGTTAAAATACTATAGTATGATTGAGTTTTAGATTGCATTATGATATTGTAGACATCGAAAGGAATTTTCCGTGTTCACAGATATATTTGTATGCATATTATCGGCATATAATTACTGTGAATACTTTGAAGTACTAAGTTGAATTACGAATGGCTGGATCCCGTTTGAGGGTATGTAGGCAGTTTAACAAGGCAGTTAGATGCAGCCATAAAACAATCCAAATTTAACATGGTAATTGATTCCTTTAAGGAAAGAAGTTATGATGGCTAACATCGTAGAAATTAACCATGATTTTATTATGGTCTATCACTGGGTTTAGTTCTGATTAAAAATGTTGAGACATTAAAGTGGTTATGCCAAATGATGCTACGGATGTCCAAGTAAGCTTCATGTGAGTACATGTTGATGATAGTGATTTCAGTGTGTATGATTATGTTTTTATGCATTTAATGCTCATTATCCTGCACCTCAGTGTTAGTGCTCCGCTCAAGGACAGGGCCTAGCCTTCACATGATCACTTAAGCGCATTTATTTACACTTAGCCTGTCGTACAGACCACATTAAGTGATTTCGACTCATGTGCAGGAATTGGTAGATGAGCTATATAGGTAACTTCAACATTGTTGTACAGGTTGCCTATGAATCGTACAAGTTGCATTAGGCAACTCCAACTTATGTGCTAGCATTGATTGATAAGATATGGATGAGTCGTACATGTCACTATAGGTGACTCCGACTTATGTGTTAACATTAATTGATGAGATATGAATGAGTTATACAGGTCACTATAAGTGACTCCAACTTATATGCTAGCATTGATTAATGAGATATTAATGAATCGTATATGTCAATATAGGTGACTCCGACTCATGTGCTAGCATTGATTAATGAGATATAGATGAGTCGTATATGTCACTATAGTTGACTTCGACTTATGTGCTAACATTGATTGATGAGATATGGATGAGTTATACATGTCACTATAGGTGACTCCGACTTATGTGCTAGCATTGACTGATGAGATATGGATGAGTCGTACAAGTCACTATAGGTGACTCCGACTTATGTGCTAGCATTGATTTATTGAGCACATGATTATTTATATTGCTCATGAGATGATGTGTCGTGGTATATTTATGGATTTACTATTGATATACTTTTGATTTTTGATATACTTTTGATTTTACATTGATACGTGGTATGGAAATAAAGCAACGGTGAGTGGCTATGGTGAGCTTTCTTAAGAATTAAGATTTCAATTGAGAAATACTAACGATGTCTTTTTTCATTTGGGATTCGCACATATATAAGAAATTTGAGTTCAATCAAATTAAAAGTAAAATACCAATCTAACCTACATTAATTGTCAACAAAAACCCTATAAATTTCATTCTAACCCTCAAATTAAAACTGAATATAAAAAAAAATTGCAGAGTAATGTAATTTAACACGCCTAAAATTTTGCTCTTTTTTAAAGCTCATCAATTATTAACATATCTTCAATTAAAAAATAAAAAAGAAACCTCATTTACTTGTCTCCACTTTTATGTTCTTTCTTTTCCTCTGCCTTTTCATTTTAAAAATAAAAACAAAAATTATTTACAGTCCTTACCAGCAAAAATGTCTGTAAATATTTTTTATTTTTGTTTTTAAAATAAAAATGAGAAAGGAGGAGGGAAAATGAGAGTGAGAAAGAGGGTTTTTATTTTTATTTTTTAATACTATGTTAAAATTACATATAAATGAGACTTAGAAAAAACAGTAAAATTTGACGTATGAAATTATATTATTGACCATGTTTTTTTTTGACAAATTATTGACCATGTTTTTAGAAGGAATATAATGGTAATTTATAGAATTTTGATTGACATTAGCATGTAATCAACAAAAATATAAGAGACAATAAAATTCAAATTTTATATCCGAAACGACTTCATTGATTAATTAAAACCAAGGAATTATCAAGAAAAGAAAAGAAGAGAGCGGGTGTGAAAAGGGAGAAGGGAATGAATGAATGTTGCGACTTGTTCGAGGCCAAAATCAAAACCAAAAATTTGACAGGCACGGAGAATCGCTTTTTATTATCGCCAACCTTCAATGCAATTTGCGCCATTTTTTTAATTGGACGCCCTTGCTCTGCAAATTGGCTTCTACTTCCACTGAAAGCACTTCTCGAATACAAATTTAAACAAAACTATTCGAAATAAATAAACACAGAGATCTGAGACGAAAGAAAAACTCGGGGAGAAACTGAGAGAAAAACAGCAAAAAATAGAAAAGATTAAAAAAAAAAAAAAAAAACAACGGAGGCTGAAGGTGAAGGAGAGGCGTCGAAATTTGTTTGATGAAGAAAGGTTTATTGTAGTCATATTTATAGGCGCAGAGGGTGAAACCCTAGACTGCTCAACTCTCTGCGAGAATGAAGGAAATGACGAGTCTGCCTATCAAAAGTTGGGGTTTGGGCTGGTGGGCTTTCACATTAGTTTGTGCATGTCATCGGCGTGGATGCTCTCTCAATTGAACTAATCACATTCACGTGCGTCGTATGTTAATACAAATCTTGTGGTTATAAAACTCTAATATTTTTTAATTTTTATTTTTTTTTAAAAAGAAATCAGCTAGTGATTTCGTTACGCAGTCCGGCAGTCTACTTTTCAGATTCCAGAAAAATTCATATAGAAATTTCAACTTATTCTGACCACAAACATGTAATTCATCAATGCAAGATTGTGTGCAATACGAGCTTGGAATTTATCCTCAATCATTAGGTCATCCCATAAAAGTTCTCTTATAATTAGTTTCGATGGAAAAGAAAAAACTCATATATTTAGTAGTATTATTAGGCTACGTTTGTTAAATTGTTACACCTTTTTAGAGGGGACTAACTTAGGTAGGATTAGCGTCTCATGAGACTTACTTAGACTACGAGCTTCACTAACACGGTGTTAGCAATCCCGTGCTTCTGTGTGTGATTGCTAGGAACCCCTCAAATCTTGCCTTCTCCTTCATCTCTACTCTTTAGCCACCAAATGACACAATGGCGATCTCCACCATCCCATAACAAACGGGGCTTTATGGTTAAACATGCTATCATTCTTGGTCTAAATTCAACTTTTCCTCTTAGTTTTGGCCAAATCTATCCATGTATGTCTCATGTGTGAAGGTGAAAGTGTATTGATACCTATTTTTTTTTTGTTGCAGCCTATTTGATATTTAAGTCATGTTTGAAACATTTTTTTTTCATCCCTTAACACGAAGTGTAAATAAATAAAATTTAGATGGGAACTAGGAAGATCACGGCTGGTTTTGAACTAAAACTCTATAAAGCGTCTATTTTTTTGTTTTTTTTTGAACAAACAACTCTATAAAGCGTCTTTTGTCAGTAGGCCTACACGTAAGCGGATTGTAAGAAGGGGTGTGCTATCCACACACCTCATTTTACTTCTCACACACCCTTTATAATTCTTGTCCGTTGATATTCTTCAATTCATCCGATCCGACGGCCGAAAATTAAAAAGGTGTGTGAGAAGTAAAATGGGGTGTGTGGATATCACACCCCTTGTAAGAATACAAACAATTGTTGGTGTGTATTCTGATAAATTACGATTCTTCATGATCAACAGTAAACCAATAAATAAATACATACATACATACATATATATATATATATATATATCACTTCTCTCCCCGGATATATAGTTTCTCTGTTTCATGTAAGAGGTGGCATATCTTTTGACCCTTGAATTTAGTTTAGCGATCCAGATTGAATAAAAAAGGTACTAGAAGGCATCGAAATAGGAAGGTAGAAAATTCAGCTCTATTTAGTAAGCTAATGTCAAAGACTTTAGCACCGATGTATTTTTTCTCACAACTATTGTTGATGAGAATGTGAATATCTCAAGCCAAATACGTAGACAATATGTATGTTTGCTCACTACTTTTAAGTGGTGGTATTGCTTATGAGAATGAATATTTCAAGCCAAATACGTGAACAATACAAATTGGGTGCCTTGAAGCACATGTGGCCATTGGGCTTCATATGCAAGACAATCTAGCACTGTTACCATAAAGAAGTTGACGTTCTACCATAAAACTAATTGGTAATATCTTTTATAAGCTCTTGTAAGGTTTCTTGTCTCACTGATGTGCGACTTTCTTTTGTCTTCACATCCTCACACTGCTCACCACCCTACTTGTTACCATTAGATGAATTTAAAATTTGGAGATTTGTTTCTATCTATTACACCAATATTAAATTTAAACTAATTCAATGATGATAGAGAAGGTGGTGAGCATCACTATCATTTGGGGTGATAAGCAAAATTATTCCTTAGAAATAGAGACAATTGTGTCTGGAAAAGAAAATATTTTTGCTCCACCTCGTTCTAGTGATAATAACAAATCTCAAAATTTAAACCGTTCTATAAAACCAAAAAAAAAAGAGCACCCAAATAACGCAATTGGGACTCAGTTGACACGTGCCGCTTTAAGTCCTTGGATGCCTTATATAAACGAGTCACTACTTCTCCCGCCCATAATTCCTGACCTTCCGATTCAGACTGAGCTAGCTCGCTCGCTCGACCTTTTTGCCCTCTGTCAGCCTGTGCGCGGTTCGATTCCGAAATGGAGGAGGAGATGGACGAAACCGATGCTCAACCTCAGGTCCATCTCGACTACTCTACCTCGCATATTTTCTTTTCTCACTTTCCGTTTGGTTGCCGAGAAAATGGAGGAAAACAACAAAATTTAATTGAGTTTTTGTTTGTTGTTCGGGTTCCGATGATTTTATAACGAAGTAAACAGAAATCATACAGAATTCGCTATTCACTGGAAGAAAAAATGACGCAATTTGCTCTGTTAGGTTAAATTTGAGTTAAATTGGACTCACAAGTTTGATTTCCTCCGTTTGGCCGCCTAGAAAATCAAGAATGTAGACTGAACTGTTCACCTATTTTCTTTCATTTTTTGTTGAATTATGGATAAATGCACTAAATTCTATCTAGCAGTAGCTAAGCAAGTTTAACCGGCAGTAATTGATCTGTTTCTTTCTTGTTTTTTGTTTTGTTGTTTTGGGATTCAAATGCAGGTGTATATGGCCTGCATTCGACACGGCCATCGGTGAGTCCTTAGTTATTACCTTACCTAATGTTTGGTATTAGTCTGTATATGGCTAATGTGGTTACTCATTGTATAGTCCATATATATTAATATTTACATTCCATTCTTAATCAAGCAGTAGAATGCATTTGAAATTGATGACTTTGCTACTCCTTCATTCCAGTGTTGGAGTTTCTTATTACGATTCTAGTATTCGCCAGCTTCATGTGCTGGAAGTTTGGGAAGATGGCAGCACGGACTTCCCCCTAATTGATTTGGGTATGATTTTGATGTCTCATTAGGCAGTCAATTTCCTTTACCCTGTTGGTTTAATACTGGACTTTCTGATTCTGATGATTTGATGGGTTTCCTTCTCACTCAACTTCTACTTGTGTCTGATACCTTCACTTTTATTTCAGTTTCTGTTTAGTGAGCGTAATAAAATGTATCTTATGTGTTTTTATATGCAGTAAAATATCAAGCCAAGCCGCTTATCATTTACACAAGTACTAAAAGTGAAGAATCATTCTTGTCCGCTTTACAGCGAAGTGGTATGTTGCTGTTAATTGGTAGGTTCTGAATTTCAGCATGAGGACAGTTGTTTACTTTCTAAAGTATTGCAGATGGAATGACTGAGGCTTTTACGGTAAAGCTTGTGAAAAGTTCAATATTTAGCTATGAGCAAGCATGGCACAGGTAAAAGAATCAGATATGCATGCTCTGAAGATTTTGTTAAAGATAACTTAAGTTTTTAAATTTGGCCTAGTGTAGTAGGCTGAAAAAAATTAGTTTCGTGAGCGTATTTAACATTTTTTTTCTCCAAAAGCTCACATGGTTGTAATTTTCAGAGTGTCTTCTTAAGTACGTTTGTGCAATTTCCTTCACATGGTTTTTCGGTAGCGAAATTCAAAATCTAAAACTTCATACATGTTCAACCTTTGGATGCCAAACCTTCTTTGCCTCTTTTTAATGTAAGTTTATGCCTTCCCATGAAATCATTGATCAGCATTTCCATTCTATCATGTCCATGTTTGTCCAACATTATATGATCAATATGATAGACAGATAGCAGTCACCCCTCCCACCTCTCTCTCTCTCTCTCTCTCTCTCTCTCTCTCTCTCTCTCATTCTTATTGTTACTATTACAACTACTATTATTATGATTAATACAGGCACTGTTTTTCATTCTTATTCCCATTCTCACTTTTCATCTTTATCATCATCATGTTGTTAATTTTGTTGCTCAATTTTACAGATTGATATACCTTCGAGTAACAGGGATGGATGATGGATTAAACATCAAGGAGAGAATTTGCTATGTACGTTAGATAGCCGTATATTTATATTTCATAGCTTATAAATCCTTTTGTATTGTGGTCCTATTGGTGTTTTTAACCCCAGGATATTACACTTAGCTTATTCATGCCTCCTAGGTCATGGATGTGCTCTGTGTGCGCACATGATCTATAATATGTGTTTTTTGTGTTCTATACATATCTATCTTCCTTTTGTCTTAAACAACGATGGATGTCTTTATCCTTTATTGACAATGAATATCTTTCTTTGTTTGTCAACTGTAGTTGAGTTCTATGATGGACATGGGAAGTGATGTTCAAGTTCGTACTAGTGGTGGCCTTCTTGCCATATTAGAGAATGAAAGGGTTGTAGATACGCTTGGACAAATGGAAAGTGGGAACCCATCCATTGCAATTGATTCTGTTATAGAAGTGTCACTGTATCTTTTTGTGTTGTTTACAACGTTTACATTCCTTTATTTCATTTTACTCTTGTGGGTGGGGGTTGGTTAATTAATTAATTCAGGGATGATACTTGAGACAAAATGTACTCCTTCACTACCAAAATAGAAATAATTTCCTTAAACTCGATGCAGCAGCTCATGAGGCACTGCAGATATTCCTAACAGATAAGCATCCAAGCCATATGGGGATTGGTAGAGCAAAAGAAGGGTAATTTCTGAATAATTTTCTGGATAGTTTCCTTTGAAAACTATTCTGATGTGTTTTAATTGCAGGTTCTCTG